ATACGACGAGAAGGACTGGATGCACGAAAGCACGTATCGCTTTCATCAAGTCTTCGTGGTCGCTCTTCTTTTTCAACTCTCCTCCCTCCCTCCCTCCCTCCCTCCCTCCCTCCCTCCCTCCCTCCCTTGGTCGTGCGAAGCGCCCGGTGAGAAGCTTGGAGTGCGTTTTGGTGACCAGATCGTGGACTTGATTCGGCAGGATAAGGGGCCACTTGTCTACCAAGAGAGCAAGCTCTTCAATAGCGAGGCGTTTTTGTTCAAGACGGATGCCATCTTGTCGGTAGGCCTTGTTCGCAGAGCCATTCTGCCGTCTTGCTTTGTGGCAGACTTTCCTGATCAACGTGTACGACCATACGAAGCGGCGGGCAGTCACTTTCGAAACTTATGGCCTGGAGACGCAGGATCAGCGGGAGCTCTCAGCTGCAGGGTTCATTGGGCAGGTTTCGCGTGTTGTCAGCGTTGCAGAATGTTTTGCTCAGGTTTCACATCCAGTACAGCTACCAGGACTTCGATGGACTCTTTCGCTTCAATGCCAGAAGCTTGTTGAGAGCACTTTGTGAGCGTCACAGTGGATGTCCTTAAGGCCGAGCTGATGAATCCCAATCGGAAAGAAGGCGGCGAGGGGGTGAGAGCAGACTCTGCGGCCTTTGGGCTTTGAGCCCCTGCAGTGTTGACAGAGGCCGATTTCATTGGATTGCGGAGCGGCTGGCCATTCTCACGGTGCCTTGGCTGAAGACAGCATACAGAGGCTGAGGGGACACGGATGTGCATGAGGTGTGGGGTCGGCCTGGGTTTGAAGTTTGGGTTTCCCTTGCCGATGTCCAAGACGCAGAGTCAGGTCGGAAAAGACCGGCAGCTGAAGCTGCAGCCGGAGCCAACACCAGAGGCTCCGTTAAACAGCCTTTAAGGCCGCCGAAGTCCCACAAACTCGCAGGTGCCCGAGCTTCCCATTTATGAGACGGTGCGAAAGATCCCCACGGGACGCATGGACCGCCAGGGCAACCGCATGATGAAAGTCCGTCGTCAGCAGCCGTACTTCGCCGTCTCGAGGACTTGAAAGAGCGACAAAGGCTACGCGAACAAATGGACATGCCCCTGGCCCCAGGCTTTATTGAGTGGCCCTGTGTGTGTATGTGCGCAGAGCCATAAGGGAAATCGCCAAGGCTAGACATCAAGCGCAATGAGAACATTGCGAAGCGAAAGCAAGAGTCCAGACAGAAGTTTCTGCAACATGTGCGGAGCCTGGAAGCCGTCCTTGGAGGGCCTGCGCTGACGGTTTGCAATACCGTGTCTTTAGGTCTTCTGGCTGAAGGAAGAGGACAAGAGGCCACTGACTGAACCTCACACCCATAATTATTGGATATTATTGGTGAATGGCGCTGACTGCCGACGTCATGTCAGATTCGTGCTGACGCTGGCATAGAGTCGTGAGCTGGGCTAGATTGTCGTTTCGAGGCTCAAGCGGGAGCATCACGAGAAGCTCGAAGCCGAGCGCACTCGTCGAGCCCTGGCCTCGATCTGTGCGGCGGAGATTTCGTCTTCCGCGCATTCGTTGTGCTGGCTGGATGCGTTCGGCTTCGGCAGGTCCAGATGAAGGAAGAGCTCGAAAGAAGACAAAAGGAGGTCCGTGCTGGACGCTACAAGCGAGCGCTGGGAGTGGCGCCTGTCCTCGACCGCAGGCGAGCCGCCTCGAGAAGGAGCGACAGCGACAGCGCCGGATTGCCGTCGAGGCCGGGGGCGTGGCAGAAAACTTTTTCGTGACTGAAGCAAATACCCGGTGGCCCGAAGGCAAAGGAGGAGCGCACCGAAGAGCGCGATGCGGAAGACTACAGGACCTGGGCTCAGCTCTGCGCAGACTTGGGAGACTCGCTGCCTGCCCACTGTCGCCCAAGGCAGCTCCGTGCCAGATGGAAGATGCGAGACGCCGAACGAGCCAAGGCCGACAGTGCGGAGCGGAGAGGACGAGTGGAAAGGAGCATCGGAGGTCTGTTCCTGATGTCACTTCGACTCAGACTCTCAGGCGATCGCAGAGGCCATCGGGCGCAAGGCTCTGGCGGGGAATGGCCTGGGCGATTGGGGGAGGGTTCGGAGCCGGCGGTGATGACAGGAGCTTGACCTAGCGGAGCTTCGAAAGAAGCAGGCCGAGGCCTGCGGACCTGCCGACTGCTTTTGCCGCTGTGACTAGCTGTGTGTTTGCTGCTCGTGACAGCTGGAGTGTCTTGTTTTGGGGGCCCTCTGATGACTTTGTTCCCAGGAGAAGAAGGTGGCGGAAGAGATCATGCGAAAGCGTCAGGCGGGATCCTGTCAACACTGAAGGCTGTCGATCTCATGTAGGCAAACTTCGACGGATCACAGCTACAGCTTTGTTTGGCTACCTGATAAGGTCTGCAGGCGAGAGACATGAAGCCTAGTTCCAAAAACGGTGTCTTCAGGAACGTAGTCTCGTAACTTCTGAACCAGAAGCCATTCACCCGCGGCTGGGGTCATGAGGCCCGTCCCGACCTCGTCATATCATACTGTAACGGAACTTGAAAAATGGAACCCAGAAACCGAAGCACCTTGGCAACAGTTAGTTCAGTGGCAGAGATACTGGACTGTGATGCTGCGGAAGCTGGCACGATGATTTTCGTGGAGTGGGCGAAAGCTCGTAGAGTGACCGTCCAGCTCAGATCAGCTTGTTCCTTGCTAGGGTGCCTGGGACGCCCGAGAGGAGCCGTCGCTTGCTGTGCGGGCTGTCCATGGAAACGCCGACATATGCACAATGACATGCAATTTTACCATGCTTAGTTAGGTTTCTGAAAAGATTGAGCAAATTGTGTCTTTCCAGCGCAGTGCGCATTCCCTTTTCGCAAGGAGCGAATTCGCCGAAAAAGCCAAGCATGGCTAAAAGCAGTGCGCGGCTCGCTGCCTTGTAGTGTTCCAGGATGCTTCAGGTTTTCAGCGTTTCAAGCGAATTCTCGCAGATTCCCGATGTCCTATCAGGTCCTCGAAGTCAAGGCTGAACGGCTGCGTATGGCCAAGATGATGCAGGAGAGCATGCTCAACTGATTGGGCACTGAGGCCTCGTTGCTGTACTGCGCTGTGTCAGGAGCGAAATCAGGAGTACCTGAATTTGCTCCATAGCCTCCGCCAGCCGATCTTCGAGGCCTCATTGGTGTGTCAGCCATGTCAGCCCATCTCACAAAGAGCACATTCTGGTGCAGGCGCAGCTGAAGAGGATGGAAGAGCGCAAAATGGCCTTGGGCCAAGCCATGCCTCCGAATTCACATCGCTGCTTGCAGCTCTTGCACTCTCTTGCACTTCTTGCAGTGCTGGAGGCTGCAGAGGCAATTGCCCAGTCGACCGCCGCGTGCCGCTGCCTCCCTGCCCCTCCTGGCCCTGTGGTCTAGCTGAGATGCTGTATCATGCTGTGTCTGTGTGGCTGCGTTCGAAAAACCTGGTGGGAGCGGTCTGTGCTCGCGTGCGATTTCCAGGAATCATGGGCGCACGTGCCGTGCTTATCGGTGTTTGATATATTCTCCGAGGTACCACGAGAAGCGTGCGGTACCGAAGAAGGTCAAGAAGAAGGGCAAGTGCGATGCTCAGTGGCCGAGCAGCGCCCCGGAGTCGAGCCGTTCGGCCTTTTGCTTCTCAGGAATGCGCAGAAGGACGACATGTCCAAGGCCGCATCGGGGCCGCGGCACTGAGCGGTCGCTGGTCCATTCTCGCACGTGGCTCCAGGAGGGCAACAAGCGGTCTAGCCGCACTGTCCAGGACTGGCACGGTCGCAAGCAAAAGTTTGAGTCTGAAGCTCCGTGACACGGTGTTGCCCGCGCGCCTACCCTGCCCTGATCAAAAGGAGTCTGGCAAGTCAGACACGGACAAAGTCCTTGACGCTGTGGAAGCCAAGATGCGGGCCGCGGCCTTAGAGGACAGCGTCATTGCCTTCCGTGCGTTCCTCGGGCACGACTTTCGAACTTGTCATTCACCCCCATGGATTATCATGGTTTGGGCAGTGCGGACTGGCACCAGAGAGCGTGTCCTAAGAACTCCCCAAGGCTGAAATGGAAGAGCAGCACCGACGAGCAAAGTCCATGCCTTGACAAATCTGAAGCGCAGTGGAAATAGCTTCTGAGAGAGCCTCTATGCGAATCCAATAGCAGCCACAAGGTTTGAGAGACTGCGTGACAAGCGCATCAAAGACCTCCAGGAGGCACCTTGAACGCGGTTCCCGTGTGGGCTGTTGTTCTTGCTGGTGGTGGTGGTGCTAGACAGGCTCGAAAGCAAAAGTGTGCCGCCCACATGGCTGCCGTCGGCTCGGACTGGTCTGATTTTGCATGTAAGGTATTTCAGACGCAAATTGCCAAAAAGATTCAGTGCTGGCTATTGACCATCTTCTGCAACGGAGTATGTCTGTCAAGCTCGAGCAGGCCATTGACCACAGGTTAGGAGCCCAATGTAGGCCAGATCAAAGGCAATATCAAAGCCTCTCCACCGTAATAACATGCACTAACTGATTCCAGCTCTGCTTGCCCGAGAGTGCAACCTGACTGACATTGTGAAGCATATCTTTCGCCGGCATTTCGCAGCTGTCACAGCACAGCAGACTGGCATAGTGGGGGCCTCTGCCACACTCTGCCACACCGCATGCTAACGTTGCCGGCGTCACGTCTCAGCGCCTCCGGCAAGTTGGCATGGAGGCACCGCGCGAGATTTCTTCCATCTCTTTGCTGTTGCTTGCACGTGAAGCAACAGCGCTCCTGGAGTGACCAGAGGCAGAGAGAGAGAGAGAGAAAGTGCGCGCGTGTGTGTGTGTGTGTGTGCGCGTGCGTGCGCGTGTGCGTG